TAAAAAATACCAAAAATGTAACAATTTATTAAAAAATAATCACTTTCTGGCCATCGGATATTAGGCATGGACATATATATTGCGATCGTGATTTTCGAAAGCCTTAAATCACTTTGTAAACGTTTATTATTAACATTTCATGAGTCTCCCCATTCAGTTGAATAGAGCGCTTGGACCCGGAAGCCACTTCGCGTGACGTCACACTTAACAAGCGGATTATACTTTTTACGCTTTTAACTTCACGTGCAATTTTGCTGTTTGAGCGTGAAAAAGATCTTAAAAAGTTAGAATCCAAAAGTTCTCTATATCAAGATTATATGTCACTATCCGAATTTAACCCTATTGTTGACTTACATCAATAATAGTATGCAATATATGTAGCGCAGAGGTGTGTGATAAGTAACGTTTATTTTATGCGTCGGTTGTTTATCTAAATTTGACCAATCAGATGGAGCCTTAGTATGTTTAGCTCCGCCTCCACAGCCCAAAGGTGAACCAAAAGCTGTATTGCTGCTGATTCACGGATCCAATATATTGATACACGTGCTATTTTTTCCCTAACTGCTCATCTGTCATTTCTAAAGCTATTTTACAATGTAGATTGTGTCAAAGCAGCTTAACAGAAGTTTTAGTAAATTGAATCTGTGTCAGTCCAGTTTTCAGAGTTTAAGTTCAGTGGCGAGGAACAAACTTCACCGATTGACGAAAGTGAAGGGAAAAAAAAAAACAGAAACCAGAGAGAAATCAGGCTTAGTTGTCCACAACCATTTCTCCTCAGTCTAGGCGCCTGCGGCTGGATGTTCACATTCACTAATACTTATTATTTGACCTTGTGTGTGCTTTTTTCACAAAATCATGTGGGTATTTGACATAAAAGAGACTTATTATAATGCTCATGTAGCGTCCTGGGATGTGTATCCCAAACAACGACAGAACTTGCGGCTGAACTAACATAGTACGATGCATCGTTTGGGAAAAGAACGATGTAGTGACGAGTGTTTCCCAAAACCCGTTGCTTTGTCGCAGATCCATCATTTGAACCACATTAGCTAATGTAAAATGCGCATAATGATGCTCTAAACGGTGTGGAGTAACTACTTCTTTAGAGAAGAACCTCATAGTTTCCTTAAAAAATTATATTGTTTTACACGCACATGCATTTAAAACAAAATCCAATATTAGTTTTGATAAAAACATGCACTCGCTTTCCATATTAACTGAGATATCTGTAAATGGCACATATAGAGCCTGTGTTTCCTTTACAAATATTATTGAGAACATTACATATTCTATTCTATAACATTAAATCACCTACAAAAGCGAACACATACTCTAATATCATATTTAATTCTTATAAATAATGAAGGCATTTAAGAAATGAAATTTAATATTTATTATTTATTAGGAAATGAAAAAAGTCTTACATCATACTTTAATATTCATAATATTAATAATTAAGATGATGATTACTATTAAGTAGGATATTGTTTTGTTTTTTTCTTGACAGATGTAAACCACTGCAGAAATGTTCTAACCAGCAGGCCCATGTCATATACAGTATGGATACTTAATAGATGAACTACTATCATTAAAAAGCATTAGCGTATATTGCGTTTTTATTTTCACAGCTTTGGAGACGTAACATAAATTCCGCTTTTAAATAATAGGTCACCTATAGCTATTGTCATGAGCCGCGGCTGTGTTCCAAATGACATCAATGTTTTCAAAGTGCACTGCGAAGGGAGCACAATGTAAACATGAAGATCGCTAAAACTGAACTGTAAAAATACTTGGAAAGCAAATTACACCTAAGAGAGATGACTTTAATGCTTTTTTTATATAAATAAAAGTTTAAATGTTAGAAAGTTTTAAATGAATAGTGCATAGGGAGGATAACTGGGAATAAAACACAGGCAGAAAATATGTTTCTAACTACAGCTTCAGAGGTGTAGTTGCAAGCATACAATTTGCGACGCAATTTGCAAATGTTCGTTGGAACGATGGATTCGGGAAATGCCAAATCAACGAACTATGTTTGTAACGACGGAACTTGCGACCTTAGTTGGCGAATGGTTTTCGGAAATGCACCCCAGATTGATAGCTGGCTTTTTATGAACAAACTTTCTGTTGGTAATTTCCGAAAAATGAAATATTAATAGTCTAAATTAAAAAGGCTTCAAAATCCATACTGATGTTTTGTTTGTTGTTGCTGGAGTAACTAAGGCATGCACTGCAAAGGCTCCATCCTTTTCTTGAAAGGGGGCGGGGAGCAACTCCTCATTTGCATTTAAAGAGATACGTATGAAATCTGGGCAAAATTTAAAGTTTACAGTATAGTTTAATAAAAAAAAGGAACATAGACACTTTTGTATAAAAAAAGTGATACTGCACATTTACATTTCATGAAAGTATACATTAACAACAATTGATTTATATAATGTGCATGCATTGAATTAACTAAATTGACCGTAGTGTATAAGTGTGTGTGTAAATGTGAGGTTGCATGTGTGTTTCCCAGTACTGGGTTGCAGCTGGAAGGTCATCTGCTGTGTTAAACATATGCTGGAATAGTTGGCGGGTCATTCCGCTGTGGCGACCTCTGATAAATAAGCCGAAGAAAAATGAATGAATGTGCATGCATTATAATAAGCCCAATATGATCAAATCAGATTTAATGTTGATTTTAAGGTATTTTCTGATCTTAAAATTAACATGTAACTTCTCACCAATACATGGCTGGCCTCCCATGTGCATTTCATGTGTTCACTTTACACCACTTCCTATACTGTGTGTCATACCACAGGAGCAGATTTATACCGGATTTGCTGCTAAATACAGTCCATTTGACCTTACCCGTCTTGCCCTGCGGTAGAGTCTAATAAGGCTTATGCTGCCATCTTTAGGATTTTTTGCTGTACTTCTATATAGAGGTTTTCTAATAATAGAATGATTTAGTCATGTATTACCATACATTTTATATATATATATATATATATATATATATATATATATATATATATATATATATACATACATACATATATATATACATACATATATATATACATACATATACATATATATATATACATACACACACACACACACACACACACACACACACACACATATACTATACACACACATACATATATACACATACATATATACCATACATGCATACATACATATACATATATATATATATACATATATATATATATATATATATATATATATATATATATATATATATATATATATATATATATATATGTATATATATATATACATATATATATATATATATATATATATATATATACATATACACATATACATATATAAACAAACACACACACACACAATTTTTATTTTTGGGACTTGAATAATATCTTTCAAACAAACAAATAATATCTTTCAATTTAAAGATTTGTTTTGTTGATTGTGATTTATTCAAATAATTATATAAATCTGACCAAACCTTTTGTGAGATTTTACATGTAAAAAACATGCGAGTCAAAGTTTCCTCACTTTCCTGACAGAAAGAACAAGCATCTGCAATATCAATAAATTTTGTGATAAATGCATTGACCGGGTATTTATTGTGTAGAATTTTAAAATGAATTTCCTTTGCTTTGTTAGGGATTACATATTTATTTGAGAGAAGCCATGTTTTTTTTCTCCAATCAATATCTTGTATTAACGCTGACCAATATGATTTATGATTTATGATTCCCTCTTGGAGCTAGGCATGGGCTGGTATAAGATTCTGATGGTGTGATAACCTTGGATAAAGATATCCGTTTCACAGCATCACGGTATTATGATTACTGCTTTAAAATATATTCTTTGTAAGTGTCTAGGTAATAAAATTAAAACTTTTTTTACCTTTTGAACAATATATTTTATTTTGAGAAACATTTAAAATATTTTGGAGCAGTAAACATGTCAGGCTATTTGAAGTATTGACTTCATTTGTTCAAAAACAGATTTTTTTTTACAATTTAAAACAGCATCTTTAGATATCTTTTCCGCTGAAGGTACTGTTGTCTTAAAAAACAAAACAAAAGACATCAATAAAAAAATCCTACACATACCTTAGGAACGGTATTGCAGAAAATATTGGCGGTTTTTAAACCTTGACTTTTCTAAAACGCGGTACACCTTAAAAACAGTTATCATCCCATGCCAACTTGGGATGCCTAATTAGATTTTTTTTGTGAGAAATTTAAATAATAATTTGTATTAATGCAATTAAATTAATCTTTATTTATATGGTGCTTTTACAATGTATATTGCATAAAAGCAGCTTAATGTAGATTAAGAAACGAGAATAACCTTTAGAAAATAATTTAGAAACCTCAAATAGTATTAAACTACCTTGCCTTTTTAAAAAGTAGGATATATTTAAGTATAATAATAAATAATACTCAGTCATGCATCTTGAATTACCCTCATACTTTTAAGTCGCCCCTCCCCCACTTTGCATTGTAGTCTTTTATTATGAAATGTAACCTTGCCAAGAACCCGAACTTTTACTTTCGTTTTTTTGTTTCACCTTTTAATTTAATATTTCCAACCCTCAATGATAAATAAAAAAAATGTACTTGTAAATAAATCTGCTGAAAATTGAAGCGTGTTGCAGTCAGCCACCATATGCCGCAGCTGTCGTCTCGGCCTCTTTGTTTTGGGCCAGCGTCTGTCACTCTTCCGTTTCGACCAATAGAAGAACGCCTTACTCGGCAGCTTCAACCAATGGGTGAATAGCTTTGTTCCACTGTGCTCGTTCTGAGGCGCGCGCGCACCGAGCCGTCGAGCTATTTCTACTTTTATCCGCCTTCGCAAACCCGTTTAACCACGCATTTGAGCGGCGTTGCTTTTATCCACACACAAGCTTCGATGTACGATCTCTTAAAAAGTCATTTTGTGGCTGAAACGGATAGCTGTGTTTGTCGTAAAACCCTGCGAGGACATTCAAACGGAAGGCGCGAGCCGGTCTGACGGGTGTCAACAGTCGCGCGCTTTTATTTTTTATAAAAACAAGGCTTAACCAAAACACTGCGGTTTATTTCGGAAAACCTACAATTAAGTAATCGCACTTCATTTTTAAAGTAAACCCTTGATTTTAAAAGCACTTTGGTGAAGATCGAGCATGGCGCAATTTCATGAGGATCCGGCGCTGCTCACTAAAGAGAAACTGAAAAGCGAGTTAATGGCGAATAATGTTGCCCTGCCGAGCGCCGACAGCAAGAAAGATGTGTACGTTCAGCTGTATCTGAAAAACCTGACTGTGCTCAACAAGAAGAACACAATCTCAGCTCCAGACACTTTCTCCAGCGATGAGGAGATCAGCACAGCGCCGCTGGTGACCAACAGGAGCCGCTCGGGGAAGGTGAGATTATCAGCTGCTAGTCATTAACACTGATTAGCAGAGCTTTTGCATAGTTATGGTCAGTGTGGGAAGAGATATCGGCTGATTTATTATTCATTTAGGCATTCGGATGTGTGTATTGTTATCTATTTTATTGGCTATGATTATAAAAAGTAGTTTTATTGGCTTTTTTGGTTAATATTTGTCGCCGATATTTATTTTTAGTTCAGTTATTTTCTAGTTTCATGGGATTCTTGTGTTGCCTGTAATTTGTTTATCAATATATATTTTATTGGTTATGTTTATAAAAATAGTTTTATCGTATTTTTTGATTATTCTTTATTGGCTGATATTTGTCTAAAGTTGTCTTTTATGTTGCCAGGTTTGTGCATAATTATTGCAAAGTGAGAGAAGATATCGGTTGATTTTTTTATTTCTACGTTTGAATTTGTGTAATGCTATTTCTTTTATTGGCTACGATTATAAAAATAGTTTTATCGGCTTTTTGGTTAATAGTCACCGGCTGATATTTATTTTTTTAGTTCAATTAAAGTTGTTTTTGGTAGGTTCATCAGATTTTTATGTTGCCAGATTTGTGCATAAGTTGTTGTATTAGTTCAGTTTATAAAACGTCCTGCTTTAGAGAAGATATCAGCTGATTTTTTTGTTGTTTTGTTTTATTTCTACGTTTGAATCCATGTTATGCTATTTATTTTATTGGCTACGATTATAAAAATAATTTTATCAGATTTTTGGTTAATACTTATCAGCCGATATTTATTTTTACTTCTTATAAAGTTATTTTTTGTTATTTCATGGGATTTTTATGTTGCCAGATTTGTGCAGAATTTGTGTAATACTATATATTGTATTGATTAAGTAAAAAAAAAGGTTTTATGAGCTTATTTGGTTAATTTATCGGAAGATATTTTCATTGAATTTTTATGTTTCCAGATTTATGGATATTTATGGTCAATGTGGGGGAGAATATCAGCTAATTATTCATTTCTGCACTAGGATATTTGTGTGTATTAATATATATTTTATTGGCTGTGTTTATATAAAGTTTTATTGACTTTTTGTGTGTGCATAATTTGTGTATCTCTATATATTTTATTGGTTAGGTTTATAGTTTTTGGTTATTGTTTTTCGGACGATATTTATTTTTAGTTCACTTAAGGTTGTCTTTTGTAGTTTCATGGGATTTTTATGTTGCCGGATTTCTGCATAACTTGTGTAATACTATATATTGTATTGATGGCATTTTTAAAAAATGATTTAATCAGCTTATTTGGTTCATTTATTGGTTAATATATTAATGAGATTTTTTATATTGCCAGTTTTGTGCATATATATGGTCAGTGTGGGAGAAGATATCAACTCATTTATTATTAATTTCTGCTTTAGGATATTTGTGTATTACTATATATTTTATTGGTAATGATTATACAAAGTTTTATTGACTTTTTTGTGTGCATAATTGATGTATTACTTTATATTTTATTGGTTATGTTTTAAAAAAATAGTTTTATCTGCTTTTGAGGTTATTGTTTATCGGCCGATATTAATTTTTGTTCAATTAAAGTTCTTTTTTTGTAGTTTTATTGGATTTTTATGTTGCCGAATTTGTGCATTATTTGTGTATATATTGTATTAGGTCTAAAAAATGGTTTTATTGGCTTTTTTTTAGTTAATATTAAAAATATTGGCCGATATTTATTTTAGTTCATTAAAATTGTCATTTGTATTATTGGATTTTTATGTTGCCGGATTTCTGTATAATATGTCTATTGCTCTATTTTTTATTGGTTATGTTTATAAAAATTGTTTTTTTTATTATTGTTTATTGGCCGATATATTGTGGTCAATGTGGGAGATATCGGATGTTTTACTATTTATTTCTATATATTAATTTGTGTATTACTATGTATTTTATTGGCTGTGATTTATAAAATCTTTTATGGACCTTTTTGGCTAATATTCAACAGCTTATATTTATTTTCTTAGTTCAATTAAAGTGTTAAAAATTATGTTGCCAGATTTGTGCATTACTATATATTGTATTAGTTCAGTTTAAAAAAAAATTTTCTTTGGAGAAGATATCGGCTGATTTGTTATACATTTCTATGTTTTGATATTTGTGTATTACTAACTATTTAAGTTTTTATCTGCTATTTTGCTCAATATGTTTTGGCCGATATTTTTAGTTCAGTTAAGGTTAGTTGTATTTCCATGTTTAATGTGGGAGAAGATATCAGCTGATTTATTAATTATTTATACATTTGGATTTGTTTATTACTATATATTTTATTGGTTATGTTTATAAAAACAGTTTCATCTGCTTTTTTTGTTAGTATTTTTTGACCGATTTTTATTAGTCCTGTGCAATATTTAACCTCAACCAAAATAAAAGTTTGTTTTGACATAATATGTGTGTGTACTATTAATATTTGTTACACATATTACTGTGAATATTACACATATCTTATGTCAAAAACTTTTAATTTAGATGCAACTCATAGCAATTAATCTTTTGCCCAGCACTTGTTTATTTTTAGATCAATTAAACTTGTCATGGGATTTTTATGTTATGTTTTTTATGTTTTATATGCAGAATTATGGTCAACTTGGAAGAAAATATTGGCTGATTTTTTTTTTCTTCTACATTTAGATTTGTTTATTGCTTTATATTTTATTGGTTGCTTTTATAAAAAGTTCTTTTGACTTTTTGGGTTTATATTTATCAGCCGATATTACTTTTTAGTTCAATTAAACTTGTCATGGGATTTTTATGTTGCCAGATTTGTACATAATTATAGTGGGAGAATATATCAGCTGATTTATTATTCATGTTTACATTTACATTTGTGTATTGCCATATATTTTATTAGTTATATTTATAAACATAGATTTATCAATCAATGTTTAAGGTTAGTTTAATTAAATTTTTTAGTTTAATGGCAATTATGTTGCCAGATTTGTGCTTAATTTGTGAATTACTGTATATTTCTTTTGGTTGGCTTTATAAAAATAGTTTTATCAGTTTCTTTTAGTTTACTTTGTATGTATATATATATATATATATATATATATATATATATATATATATAAATTATTTTTTATTTTATTTTTTTAAAGTTCAGTTTATCAATGTAAAACTGATTTCTTATCTATTTCTACCTTTGTATATAAATGGAAAAACTACAAATTTTCAGTCACAAAGGGTGCAAGACCACAGGAGTTTAAATGTAGTCTGTGTATATCAGCAATTGATTAAAAAGGATGATTTGACAAACTGAAAATGTATTAATTAACTGCCTGAAAGTACTGAGTTGTACAGTGTAAACATCTCAGTAAGTCAGTTAAACACTTGGCCTATTGAATATTAAATAGATTCAATTCTTGTTCATTGAAAATTATTTCATGGTAAAGCAATACATCAACTTGCGTACCTTAATTGAAATGTTTTAACCCAAACTTGCCCATAGAAAAAATGGCATCGTATCAAATGGTATAAACTCCTAACTGTGTATGTGTACATAAAATAAATGTTTTTAAAAAAGCTAATAACAGCATCTTAATGATACTAAAAAACACTGGTGCTACAATGACATTTGAAGGTTTTATTTAAATTTTTACTTTTCTGTTGTGTGTCATGTCATCGCTATATCTTTTACAAGTATATATGAGAGATAAAAACAATTATATGTATTTCCTTTCTGATTTTGCATGAATCTACAGAAAGCCACAAGGAAGACGGACCGAGTTCGGGCTGAAGAGAACGACGTCTCTGGTTTGACCGATGAAGAGTTGAAAGTTCAGCTCCAGAAGTTTGGGATCCATTCAGGACCGATTGTTGGTGAGTTTGACTGTTTCCAAAGATGGATTGCGCTTAAAACGTTTTGCGCTCTATACTTATCTATCCGGTTCTGTATGATCACAGCATCTACACGTAAAGTCTATGAGAAGAAACTTCAGCAGGTCCTGGATCAGCCGCCGGTGGAGACCAGCCTGCCTGAACCAGAAACCACCATCCCAGAGGCTGTCACTATTAAAGCAGATGGAAACCAGAATGGCAACACGCATTCAGCTGAAGATCAGTACAGCGATAAAGAAGAAGGTAAAGCAGGATCAATCAATACTGAGACTCGCTTTTTGCATCTTTAAATATAAGTATGTCATCTACTGCAGTTTCTGTAGTGTCAGTATATTTTGATGTGCAAACCAAGAGAAATTGAACCTTTATTAAAGAGGTAACTCACCACAAAATGAAAGTTTGCTGATAATTTACTCTCAGGGTAGATTATACAAGATTTATTTCTTCATAAGAAAATACATGAGAAAATTTGTAGTTGAAACTTGGTGATTCATAAAATGCAGGTCAAAGACTACTGCCACTTTGATAGTCAGAAAAAGCATATATGCAAAAATAAAATGAATAGCTGTGGTTTTATTACAGTTTTTATAACTAGATTTCTGTATTTTGTCTTAATTTTCTGCAATGCTAAAATTACATGCTGTTCAAACCTATCAAATCTTTGGTAATCTTTAAAATATTCAAATTTTTAAATAGGATATCGTCCTCTCTCGAATGTCTAATGCTGCGTTCACACTAGACACAGAACGCACACGAGTGATTTACGTGTTAAGTCAATGCAAACACCCAAATAAACATCCTGCGGCATGAATGACGCGAATTGCGTAAATGGAGCGGTGCGAATTGAGCGTTTTGTGCGTTTGACGCACTTAACGCGTGTTTCGCACAAATCACTCTAGTTCGAAAATCTGAACTTTAGTGGACATTTGCGCCACATTAACCAACCAGGAGCTTGCTCTTGTGGGGGCGTGATTGTGACGTATCGCCTGTTGTGGGTGTCCCGGGGGAAATCCTGCAGCCAACACCGACAAGAAGTTGATCAAACTAGGCTGGGCTCAGTCAGAAGCACCGCTGAAAGCCTCCGTCGGCCAGGTTAAGTTTCTGGAGGACTTTATGAGCTCACAGAGCTGGATGCACCTCTGAAAGGATGTAGTGGACTCAGACACGGCCCTAAACGTATCATCGCTGTTTTTCAGCCTTTATAAAGCACATTAACACTGTTATTTTCTTTATAAAATGCATGTTAGCCATTTAGCAATGAAGCTAGAGTCAGAAGCCCTGCCCATCACGCGAATCCGCGTCTGTTCTGAAGTGTATTTGACGCGCAAATGAAGCGGATTTGATGCGCCAATGAAGCGAGTAAACTCAAATGGTCACGCGGCTATTTACGCGCGAATAGCGCGTAAAAAAGATTATAAAATCTTCATAAAACAAATAATTATGAGACAAACTGTTCAATTGCATTCTTCATTATAAGTTTACTCTCCCTTTCACCAATTTTGCGTTGCATTTCATTGGCATTGTATTATTTAGCAAACTTATTGCAAAGAAATTAATTTTAATTCTAATTTCTCCAAAAATCTTGTTCTCATTACCGTAATGTGAGAAATAGCATATACTGATTACTGTTATATTAAAATAAAATCTCATTGCCATCATGAAAAAGTTTCAGACAATGTAATTTTTACTGTACGGGTTGTTCACGTATCATATGAGACGCGCTTCTCACAAAACAGAGGCTTTATACACATTACTCACCTTTCTATCAACAGGATTTGATTCATGTATACTGGTCACTTTTTTATCAAAGTAAATCTTATTACCATCATAAAAAATAAATAATTTTGATTTCTATAAAATTATTCTCATTACCGTAATTTTAAAAAATCATTCTCGTTGCCATCATTTTAAACATTTTCATTACCAAAATGAAAATAATTATTTACCACAATGAAAAATAATCTTATTGAAATCTTTGCTAATCTTTAAAACTAAATATTTTTTAATGGAAACTAAAATTTTCTTCTTCCTTCATAAAATGTCTTGCTAATCAAATCCTTAAAAAGAGCACAAAATGAATTAAATTGACATAAAACAAATCAAACTCAGGGCTCAACAATAAGGACTAAATACAGTCTTAGAATCGAGAAACAGTTTGTGCTTTAAAGCCTTTAAATGCTGCCTTCTCAGTGATGTCGTAAACCATGTTTCTTTTGGTTCCTTCTATCTGATTGGATGTTGTGAGCATGTTGTTTTTTTGTAACCTGGTAAAAACCAGTACAGCGAAATGAATTTATGAGGCTAAAAGAATGTCTTGGAAGCAAACATTTACAAAGATATGCTCATTATACATTTATTAACATTTTAACACATTTTTGACACAATATTAAAAACATGTGGCTAAGAAATAGCTATTAACTTAACTTTTTTTTTGGTGGGGCCAGTGAAAATATTGGCAGGGCAAGTAAAAATCTGAACCGCTGGGCCAATCGGGCCAGTAGAAAAAATCCTTAGCGTTGAACCCTGGAACTGTTTAGCCCTATTCTCCCTTACAAGGTTAACTTTTCTTTTACCAAATTTGCTTTGGATTGATTGGCAGAAGTACCTGAAGCCCCTGTTGTGACTAAGCCGGTCCGGAGCCGAGGAAAGACCCCCGTCACCACCAGGACCAGCAGTAGACAGCGTACTAAAGTAAAGACCGCACACGCTCAGAAAAAACAGCATCATCAGACTCTGATTGAAGGCCGATATATGTGAAATGTTTGCATTTGCTCTCTTCAACAGCAGGTGGAGGAAATGGCCATTGAAGAGGCATCTGTGGACAGAGCAGATATTTTAAAGGAAATCTTCCCCAATGAACAGGCCACACCAACTGGAATAACGTGAGTGTGATATATTAATCGATAATATAGAAACTACAAAAATTAAAAACTAAATATGCATGTTTGACCGTGATGAATATTTACTGCTGTAATGAAACCCTACACTGATGTTTCTGTACAGGGCCACGTGTCGAAGGCCGATCCACGGTGCGGCTGGTCGTCCGGTGAAGCCTCTGAATCTTTGTCCTGAAGAGTCGCTTCTGGAGCAGAGCCTTTACACGGTGACCAAATCCTCAGTCACAGATGTCTACAGCACAGTGCCCACCGCTCGTCCCAGACCTCGCCGCCGCTGGCTTGCTTTCCTGCTGAAGCTCCTGCTGTTGATCGCATTGGTCGCGTCGCTTTATTACGCCTACCAGACCGTCACCCCTGATCAGATCAACGCCTGCCAGCTCTATCTGCAGGACAATGTGATCACACCCATCGTCAAATATATTAGTTGGGATAGCCCAGCTGAGGTCGGAGGTGGTGGCAAATGAGCGTCCCGTTCTGCTAACCTGCTTCAGCATGCATCTACTGTCAGACTGATTTTTCTAGTCCTTTAAGGAGCGACGCATCGGCAGGGTTTGATTGGGGAGGGAGGGATTCTGGGTATTGCAGTTTGACCTTAGCAGTCACCTCTGAATAGACTCGTGTTTCAAGTAGTCTTTAAACTCTGTGTGTTGTGTTTTTGATCTTGCTTTGTGATTTTACGGTTTTGTAGCATTCGAGACTATATAGAGAAGTGTAGTGTTCGCTAATAGCGAGTCAATCGCCGCTGTCATCGGTTTAGCATCACACAACGAGAGGTCAAAATTTACTGAAGGGGTTTTCTCAAGTGCCAAGACATGGCCAACACGAGCACAATTTGGTTTCAGACACACACATACTCAAAAGCCTGGAGCTGAATGTTTGCAGAAATGGTTTATTTCATATATTTTGAAAGGTTTTCCTGTAATAATCATGGTGAATTTTGTTTTAGCATGGCTAAATCCTGACATTATGAAGTGATGCTAATGAGGCTAGACTGAGAAAATGTTCTAATGGGTGAGTCTCACAAACAAAACAAAAATAATCACATATGTTTGAAAAGAAAATTGAGTATTGAAAATAGGACAGATACCACTTTTTCCAATGTATTGTTTTACAAAATATAAATAAATCATGAACATAACCAAAAATCTCATTACCGTAATGCGGTATCTCATTACCTTACATTTGCATGTACTGATTACTTTTATATTTAAGTGAATCTTATTGTCATCATGGAAGATTAATTAATTTTCATTTCCATAAAAATTAAAATCATTTAAAATTTGTATTACTAAAATTAACAAGTCACTACTGCAATGAAATTATTACTGTCATAAAAAATAGCTTAGTTTAAATTTCCATACAATCATTACCGTAATTTTTAAAAATCATTCTCGTTCTCAACAGTTTAAACATTTATATTTTCACTTCTAAAATGAAAAAAATATATATATTACCACAACGAAAAATAATCTTATCAAAAAAGAAAACCTGTTCTCATTACCGTAATGCAAAGAATTGCATGCACTGATTACTTTTATATTAAAATAATCTTATTACCATCGTGAAAGAATAATTGATTCTCATTTATATAAAAATAATTAGTAAAAAAAATGTCATTGCCGTCATTAAAGAATTTTCATTACCAATTTTTTTTATAAGTTATTACTGCAATAAACTATATAATTACCGTCATGAAAAATAACTTATTTTTAATTTCTGTAAAATTATTCTGATTACCGTGATTTTTAAAAATCATTCTCATTCCCAGCCTTTTAAACATTTTCGTTTGAAAATGAAAAAAAAAATTATTACCACAATGAAAAATAACCTTATTGGAAAAGAAAACATGTTCTCATTACCATAATGCAAAGAATTGCATATACTGATTAATATAAAAGTAAAGTAAATTTTATTACCACCTTGAAAGATTAATTGATTATTATTTCCATAAAAATAATTAATAAAAAATTACTACTTTAAAAAAATAACAAAATTATTACCGTCATAATAAATAATTTTCACTTCCATAAAATTATTCTTCTTACCAAAATTTAAAAAAATCATTGTCATTGCCAACCTTTTAACCATTGATATTTTTATTACTAAGATAAAATCATTACCGCATTAAAAAAATATTACCGTCAGGAAAAATTACTTTAATTTTATGGAAATAAAATTATTTTCATTACTGTAATTTTTAAAAATAATTCTTAATCCCAACCATATTTTCACTTCTAAAATTAAAAAAAAAAAAATGATTACCACAATGATAAATAATCTTATTGGAAAAGAAAACATGGTTTTATTACCGTAATGCAAATAATTGCATGTACTGATTACTTTTATATTGAAGTAAATCTCATTGCCATCATAAATAATTAATAATCAAATATTTTTCATTGCGGTCATTAGAAACAAATTACTACCGCAATAACAAATGAATAATAAAAAATAAAAATATTAATACTGTTGTAAAAAATTACTTTAATTTTCGTTTCCATAAAGTTATTCTCATGACCGTAATTAAAAAAAAAAACTATTCTTATTACCAACCTTTTAAACATTTGTATTTTCATTTGTATCATTACCGCAGTGAAGATCTTTTTTTATTGAAAAACAAGTTCCCGTTACTGTAATGCAAATAAATTATATTATTATCGTGATAAGAAAAATCTTTTTTTCTGTAAAGATGAATATTCTATTCACATTACAATAATAAAAATAAAATAAAAATCGGTAAAGATGGAAATTTAAATTCAGATTTTGTTTTGTTTTTATGTTTGCACAAAATTATTATTTTGTTAGTAATTGCAAAAATGTATCTAAATTAAAGTACAACCACAATTTGTCTTTGGTGTACACTTTACTCATGTAAAACAATTCTTCTGCATTACAGCAATCTGAATACAATGAAAATTGCTTGATTAAAGTATATGAGGTGATTTTTGTAGCCTGATCTTGCGAGGAAACAAGTATTTTACGTTTCGTCAGTTTAGCGGTAAATTCGTACAAGTTCAGTCGAATGAAAATACGATTTTAAAAAGGGGGTGTGGCTTTCAACCCCGCCTGTAAATCCAACCGTCTCTGGGGGATGAACAAATCATACTAGTTATACTAATTAATAGCCACTAAATCAAAGTTACGAATTGGCTGTGCATCGTGTTGAATTTTTGTGGTGAAATTTGTCTTTTAACGGTTTCTGTGAGATTCACCCCTGTAGCATTTATTTTAATAGTTTGTAGCATTGAACTACTACTGAACAACCAGCTCAGATGACGTTTGGTTTTATTGCTATACTTAATAATAGACATTTATTTATTTATTTTTTACCCTCCGCTTCAAGGACCATGTGATCATAAAGTCTCGTAGTGAAAAAAACGCATCACTTCAGTTGAGATGCAGTCTGTTTTCATAATTTTTAATAGATAACGGCGGCTTGTTCGATGTGTTTGTGAAGTTTTCATAATGTGATGTGGCATTATAGCCCTTTTAAAACCCATAAGTCAAAGATAATGCCTCTTATTGACTGTAATCAGACCCTATGTGATTGCACAAAACACTGGCATTCATCTGACTAAAGCTATGAATTCATTTCTTTGCTGTGATTTTAAACACAACCAGTCGTCCTCTTGCTGTATGTGCTAATTCAGTATATCAGAGAAATACATTCGTGACTGATACCTTCATCTTCAGGGGTTTGTTTTTATATTTTGCTACTCTCCGTTTATTTTTAACTGCAATATTTTTCTAACGTCTTCTCTGAGATTAAAAAAATCTTTGTAAAACACAGTGGGTTACTTTTAAGATGTACATACACCAAATCCACTAACCATTAACTAACATTTTAGGGTTTTCTGCTATCAAATGCAGTGAATGGTATAAAAAGTCCAATTTGCACTTTGTATTTAGGCAGCTAATTGTGGATTAAATTGGACATGAGGAATGAATTATTTATCCTTGATTCAGTACAATTCTGGTGTGAAATAAAAGGAAACCATTGAGATCCCAGAGGTGACCCTTCATTGGAGTTTATTCACAGCAAGGTCAGTTCAATCACACACACATTGCAGGTGTTTTATTTAACGAGGAAAATTTCCTGTCATTTTTACACTGAGCTTTGACCTTCACACACCTTTGCATACAGAAACATCAGTTTATTTCAGAGAAACGTATACATTTAAGTATATTTCCAATTATTAGATACTGTACAATGTTTATGCTCGTCTCAATCACACTGTAAAGTAACAGGCGGTGACTTTGAGTTCAGTGGAATCTTTTACGTAATGCGTTCCGACCATTCTACTATGGCGACGGCCATGTTCATGAATATTCATTACGTAATATGACGTCCAGGTGACGCAGATTCCGAAGCGACGTCGTTAAAAAGTGGTCAATCGGTAAAATATGAACTATTATCTGAAAGACTTTACATTTTGTGTAATTAGCGAGGTTATCATTGTGTAAAAAATAATATATAAGTACATGTGGTAATCTAAACGAACAGCAAATATCTGGATAACTGGAAGGCATTGATAAATTAAGGACCAAGTAATACAAATGTAAGTTTAGGATTAAATAAAAAAAAAGAATTATATTTATTTTTCTAGTACTTTATTTCGTTATTTCATGTGAAGTTAACTGATTAAAGATAATTTAAACTAAGGATAATGTAATCATGAACATTCAGACATATTTTACACGAGCTGTGATTCTGACAAAGTATATATACATGTCAATATGTAATTTTATATTTGAATAAATGTTCTCGGTCCTCTACAGAATATATAATAAATCCAGTAAATAATTTTGGAAGTGGTTTCTTTTTTATTGCCATGTATAATATAATAGTGATATAATAATAATAAAACTGTAAGAGGAATTTAAGTTGAGAGACCGAGTTATTAATGAAAATTTTTCCAAAAAACAAATAATGTACCTTATTGGTACAATAATTAACCTTATTGGTATAATTAGTACCCAAGTAGTATAATTAATAAACAAATAAATAAAACACTTCTAATGAACTTTAAATCTAATTAAAAAAAAAAAATTATATATATATATATATATTTATATATATATATATACATACCTACCTCATCCACAAGATGAATATTCATGAACCACTAAGACGTCACCATAGTAGGATTCCTACTACAGTGGGCGGGGCATATCGTGACGTACCCGCTTCCTTTATGCTGTTCAGCCTTCCGGCGCGCGTGCACACCGCTCGGTCTCTATGCGCAGCCGGTAGAGGAGAGGACGGAGGCGCCATTTTGCGACAACTTCTATAAAGTAAGAGTTTCTCCCACTCCACATTACCTACCTCTCAATATTAACACATAGAATCAACTAAAACATCACTGTTTATTCACACAAAGGCATTTTAGGTTGCTATGTCATCTGAAAGTATCTCTGAGGAGTGCCGGGCCGCTGACCTCCGTATGATAAATGAGAGACAGAGGACAAATGAGGAGATATGAGGCTTATAAATGTCTTTAGCGACTAATTGGTGTTTGTTTACTCCCTCAGGTCGACCAACAGACATGTATCCGAACGCTTTGACCCAGTTGGCCCGGGCGAACCCGTTCAGCGCCCCGCTTTTCACCCTTCAGAAAGTGGAGGAGCCCGAAACACAAACCCCCGTACAGAAGCGGCGGCTCGCGGCAGCAGCAGTCGCCGGTAAGAGCTAAAATAAACACTTAATATGTGCATAAAACAGCTGAAGACATTCTAGTGTATTCATAACATTGAATTATGTATAACTATATTCATTAAGTCCTCCGAACTAACCGTTTATCATTGTGTTAATGCTTGAAATGGATTTCCCGGGCCTCAGGATGGATATTAAATACTTGAATAATCAGGTTGGAATGCTAGTTAGTTCGCTGTAAATATTAGGTCTGTAATTTAGAAATGCTTCTAGTATTTATAGTTGAATAGCGGTTTAGTGTGCTGAGTGTTCGGCCTCCATGGAGGGCAATGAAGGACAAATTTGATATACGCGTTATACATTTTTCAGTATTTTATTTTACTTGTTAATGCTTCAGGTTTGTGTTGGTGTATCGATTAATGTTATTGAGTAAATCAGGGGACATGATGTTCTTTATTTAAAGCGTCCTATTCCTTCACATGACCTGCGTTC